GGTGAGGTGGGCAGGGAGAAAAGTTCAACAATGAATGAAAGAAAATCCAAAATCTCTGTAAGTGTTCATTAATTAATAATAATAAAAAGACTATAGCCCTCAGTATAGATTACACCTCAAACTCAAGAAAAAAATTCCCAAAGTGATATCATGATAAAGAGAGAAGACTGAAGATGTCGAGAATGTCTTTTACTTGGCTATACCATCATAACACATGAAAATGGTAGCCAAGAAATCAAAGAATGTATTGTCTTGGGCAAACCTGCTACACAAGACCTCCTTAAAGTGCAAAAAGCAAAGATGTCATCTTGAGGGTTGAGGTGCACCACTCCCAAGTCCTAGTGTTTCCATCTCTGGTATAAGTGAAGCTGGACAATGAGTAAATAAGATCCAAGAATAATTGGTGGCTTTCATTATGATGGTGAAGGCCATACCATAGACAATCAGATGGACAAACAAATCTTTCTTGGAAAAAGTACAGAATGCTTCTTATAATTGAGGATAGTGAAACTTCGTCTCATGTATTTTGGACATGTTATTAAGAATGATCAGTTTCTGGAGAAGAACATGATGCTTGGTAAAGTAGAAGGTGATCAGAAATCATGAGTTCAGTTGGAACAGTTGGAACAGTAACTGCAATGAACTCGAGTGTAACCATGATTTTGAGAATGACATGTGGTTGGGAGTTTGTTTTTGTGCGTGAAGTCACTGTAATTTAGAAATGACTCAACAACATCTAACAACAACAACAACAACAAAAACAATTTTTTTCAAGTTGATATATGAAGCTTAGTTTGATCCTATAATTAGAAAAATATAATTTTAAATATAAACACACAAAACTATTGGTCTTTGTTTTACCCACTGTTGAGATATAGAAAACATCTAACAACAACAACAACAACAAAAACAATTTTTTTCAAGTTGATATATGAAGCTTAGTTTGATCCTATAAATAAAAAAATATAATTTTAAATATAAACACACAAAACTATTGGTCTTTGTTTTACCCACTGTTGAGATATAGAATAAATCTACATTTCCATATTTTTCCATTCAAAAGCCCTTTATATAAACCATGAAGCAGAATATTATATCTGTCTTCTTTCACACTTTAATCCAAGATCTACTTTAACTTCTAACCAATAGTGCTGGTCAATTTAAATGATTTTGAATATTCTTTTTTACTATTTTCTTTTCTAAAATAGGAAGATTCACTATCTTACTTTTTTAAAAAACAACTGAATGAACTACTATAAAGTGAACTAGATACACTTCTTTCATCTTTGGGATCAGTTCTTATTCACCATGAGGGAGACTTCCATTATGTTATTCAACCAGGTCCCATTACTCACGAGTCAATTGAAAGTCCCACTTGAATGTCTGAGACTAGGATGGGAAGGAAAGAACGCCATGGTCTGTATTTCCCTGAATCCTCCCTATGGTTTATAATAACTCAGTATCTCTAACTACGGGTACAGCTCTCATTCAGGAAGCATTTCATACCACTGTATTTCCTTTTGTAATCATTTCTTCACTTCATTCTCTCAAGTCAGCTTGAGATAATGGAACTGTTAGCAGCTAGCTCTGAGTTGTTTTAACTCAGAATATGTAATAAGATTTTTTCTTATTAAATTTCTTTAACCTTGTTCATGTCTTAAAAATTAATCTTCATTAAATTTTTCTTTGTTTTTAAGATGCCCTTTTTGAATATGCTCATTATTGCCAGGATTCTAGTGGATGTAGAATGCTAGTACGTTTCTTTTGTGAATAATAGAAAGACATAGAAAAGGTTTTTTTAAAAAATTATGTGTTGTATTTTTTTGTGTGTTTTGTTCTTTCTTGTTGTGTGCTGTTGAATCGGATCTGATTTGGAGGGAAAGAGATTGCCCCTCCTTCTCCAGCAGAGCGTCTGGTGAATTCAAACCACACACCTTCGTGATTGTAGCACAGCTTCTTGCCACTAGGGCACCAGAGCTCCCAAAATGTTGTATGGTTTTGTGTTTTTCTAAAAAATTTGTACTTCTTTTGATGTATCATTGATCAATAATATTCACTTTTTTCAGGAAAAATGGGGAAAGACTTTGAAATAAAACAATGATTCCCCCTGCCCTGACTTTAGGTATATATTCTAGAGAAATAAGGACTACAACATGAATAGATACATGCAGGCTCATGTACAGTACAGCATTATTTATCATATAAGAAAGGTGGACACAACCAAAATATCCACCAATATATGAACAAATAAACCAACTGTGGCACACACACAAAATAATACTAAGCAATGTTAAAGAATGGCTGAATTTTTTTTTTCTGTACCCAATTTTTTTTTTTAATGTACTGTCATATCAGATCCAGCTGGTACAGGAGGACATTGCTCCTCCTCCAACAGAGCATCTGGTGGATTTGAACCGTGCGTCTTCAGGATTGCATTGCCATTAGGCCACCGGAGCTTCCTAAATGGCTGAATTTTTTTTTCTAATCATATATTCCTTTTAAAGAATTATCTTCCTCAACTGTTTGAGTGCAGTAAACATTATTTATCTCCTCTTATTTAGGTTCTCCCCAAAACCTAATGTCAGTCCCGTTTTACAACAGTGACAGTATGCAGTATTTGTCCTTCTGTGACTGAGATATTTCATTCAGCATAATATCCTCCAGGATCACCCATTTTGTCTAATATTTCATGAGTTCTTAGTTTTTCAATGCAGCATAGTATTCCATTGTGTGAATATGCCACAGCTTCTCTATCCATTCATTTGTTGATGGGCACTTGGGTTGTTTCCAGCCCTTTACTATTGTGAACAAAGCAGCAATAAACATGAGTGTCCATATATCTGCTTGGGTGACAGTTCTGGCTTCTTTAGAGTATATTCCCAGTAGTGGGAGTTCTGGGTCAGATAGTATTTCCATTTGCAACTTTTTGAAAAAGTGCCATACTGCCTTCAATAGTGGTTGCACCATTTTACACTCCCACCAACAGTAAATTAAGGGTTCCAGTTCCTCCACAACCTCGCCAGCATTTGCTGTTTGCTGCTCTGTTGAATTTGACTATGCTTACTGGGGTAAGAAGATATATCAGTTGTTTTGCAAAGATTTGTTTTTTAAATGTCTTCAATGCTATCTATAGCACTACCTCTAGGGTATATTATTATAGCATTATGCTTTTCACTATCTGGGATATTTGAAAACTCTAGAATTTATAGAAGAACTTTTTTATAGAATAAAATAATTCCTATTCATAAAGTAGAAAATGTTGTCTGGTGGAGGTTGAATTCAATGTCATTAATCATTGTGATTAAACTAACTCTTGCATCTATTGTAAATATGCTATGCATTCCTGATTGCGTGTGTTATTATTAGATGCCATCAAGTTGAGTACATCTCATCACGACCCTGTGAACAACAGACTTGAGTCCTGTCCTATCCTACGCCATCCTCATAATTTCTGATACACGTGGTTTCATTGCTGCGGTCACTGTGTCCATCTATATCATTAAGGGTCTTCTTCTCTTTTGCTGACCCTCCACCACTCCAAGCATGATGTCCCCTAACATGGAAAAGTTTCTCATAGACAAGTGTCTCCTTTAAATGGATTATAACATGTTATTTATCACCTAATTAACTAATGAGTCATGTAAAAACTGCCATATGCTCATTCTAAATTTGTTTAGCAACTGTGATTTTGCCTTTTTAAAGTTCATTTGTCTTTATTAGAATTCTTTAGAAAGCTGAAAAACACAAAAATAGAGATTCTCTTTCTCACTGTATCATTTCTTAATAGGTTTTTTACGTTTCATTTTAGTTGTTTTTATAAATTTATAGAAAAATATCATCTTGTGTTTCTTTAATTAAAAGGAACCGTGATATGATATTGAAGAATAGAAATACTTTAGTTTCTAACTTCACTTCACAAAATGAGTGAAAACGAATATCCTGTGGCGTCTGAGGAGACATGAAGGAGAAGAATTACCTAATAAAAATAGTCTTACCCTTACTGTAAGGCAAGAGATAAAACTTTGGAAGAGTCAAAGGAATACATAGAGGTGTGTAGAGAGAACATAATGCCACATGCAGAATGCTTGAGGTGATACATCACTGACTCAAAGCATAGTGACTGACAGGCTGAGTAAGGCAGTTAACATTTTACCCTGAAGTTCAAGCAAACTCTTCCAGTCAAGAGTAGTATTCTAAATGCCTAGTACTGAACCACTTACGATTTTTACCACTACAAGAATCAAAGCTCTGCCATTTCTTTTGTAAAGAAGAATTTAGAAGTGCTGAGAGAGAAATTATTCCTTGTCCTCTTAATTCTTAAGGAAATCATGAGTGTGAAGGTTTTGAGATATTATTTAGAAGCCACATATTACATTAGTAGCAATTTCATTTTTCATAACATCTCTTACACAATGTTGTTGTTGTTGATTGC